ACAGCCAAGAGGGGGGAAAATCATTATGTCTTCTGATATGTTAGAAAAACTTCTTCCCTGCCCTGAACTTGTCTGGTCACAGGTTTGGTGTTAAGAATCTGAAGATGCTAGCCAAGCAAATGAAAAGTTCATCTGTGCCATTGCAGAGCTCTCCCCTTCTGGTTGCCCTTCTCTGATTGGGGTCAGCTTTGGGAGTGGGGAAACACCAAGCCAGAAGAAGACATCAGAGCACAGGGGACCACCTGTCCTGTAGGGTGACACAATTCTCCTCCTGGCCCCAGAGGCAACCTGCTGATGCCCTGAGTGACACCTGATTCCAGCTGTCATCTGACTCTGGCCATGTTTACAGCATCCTGCTCTCCCAGCTGTGATAACAGAGGGAGTTCTTTGGCTCCTGGTCCCCACAGCTGGATGAGGTCCCCACAGCTGTCCAGCCAGAGTCTCCCCACATCCTGCAGCCAAGGCAGGACATACATATCTATACAATCCCAACATTCCCTTTAAAGGCATTTCCCCCTCTGCCCTGCCCTGAGGAGTAGTTGATCATTTGTAGTTGATCATTTGCCCAAATCATTGATGGACTGAGATTCTGGGGAACAAGTGAGGAGGAAGACTTAGCATGGTAGGGTTGGTCTGCCAGGGGGGAGAGGAAAGCAGTGTGGGTCCCAGTGCTCCTGCACACAGCCTTTTAGCACATGTCTCTTGCTGAGCTCCAGGCTGGCTGCAGATGGAGTGGGGCTGGAGACAATGAGTGCTGGAGAAGGGAGGAGGGGAGAAACTAAGCCTGGGAGCACATTTCTCCTCCAGACACCTCCTGTGGCCCCTCAGCCCTGGGGTGAAGGAGACTCCTGCCCCCTGGTTCAGGACTGCCCTCTGCAAAATAGGGTAAGGGTTGTACTCCAGGCTCCCTGGTAGAGATGCATGCACCTGGAATTTCAAACAGAGTTGACAATATGACATCAAATCTCTATGTTTTTTAACACGATGGTTCAGGTTGGTCTGTTATGGTAATTAGTTTTTCTCCTTATTGACTGCCCCACTGATCCTAACGTGTCAACTTAAGCAAAGCTGCTAGAGCTTTCCACGTATTTCCAGCTTTGAGTGGCTTGGTAATGGGTTCTGATATGAGGGTATGCCAGGACTCAGGAAGAGTTTAATTCTAAATACAAAGCAATCTGCTCCAAACTCACCTGAGCTCCTTCCTAGCCCACTACAGACCTTTCTCTTTTACACCTGACCAAGCACCTCCTTGTGCTGAGCTGCCACATCAGCCTGTGCTGGCCACCTGAAGTGATGGGTGAAAGAGGTGTGACCAGTTCCTCTGGCTGCCCTGGCACCACACCAGCCTCAGTGGGGGAGATTTCACAGTGACCCCAGAAGTGATGCCCCTCTGAGAGGCATAGGAGAGCCACAGGATGCAGTGAGAACTTAGGAGGGCAATAGCCCTGCCCAGTCATCATTTTAAGCTCTTTGGAAAGTTTGCCTCAGGGCAGTGACTCTGGACAGTATCTTTGCAACTGCAAACAGGAGAATCTGACAAGGATGCTCAGCACAGCCCTCTGAGGATCCTGTGGTTTTAACCAGCCATCTCTGGCCTCCTGATCTGCCTGGACACCCACATTTTTTTTTCCCTTCCACCCACCCAACCCTTTCCTAGTCCTTGACTTCCTCAGCACTTTCAAAGAGCTGTGGTCACCATCAGGACACACTTTAGGCTGTCAGGGAGTTTCTTCCCACTGTGTATTGGGAAATCCCTGTGCTGAACGAGAAGACAAGCTGTGAAATGGTGATGTAAGGGGATGCAGTTCCCTTCTCATGCACACTCATCTCGAAAAAGTCAGTTTCCTGTGTTATGGGAGCAGCAGGCGCAGTCAAATTTTAGCTTTTCAGCATTCCTGGTACTGAAGGCAACAGGAGTGCTGATGGGATGCTGGTTTACCACTCCAGGGGAGAGCAGCACTCCTGCTCCCCAAGGTTTTCTGGGGAACTAGTTGGGGATTGCTTGGCCTCTGTCAGGCTCTTCAATGGCTGTGTGAAAACAGTCACCCCAGGAGGAGGAATTTTTAAGTTTCTGGAGCTAAAGGCACAAGTCCTTCCAAGATTTAAAAGGTTAAGCTGTGTTGTTTGGAGCTGATACATTTTGCTGTAAATCCTGTAAAGGGCAGAAACAATTACCACGTGCTAACAGGTTATTAAAAGAGCAAAACCATAAGCAATAGGTGTGTGAATGTGCATATTAGGTTATATAAAAATCAGTGACTGAGGACATGTAGTGCAGAGAAATGCTCTAAACAGAGAAAAGGAACTCAGGGAAGGACGATGGATGTAATGGTGAATGAAATTGGTGTGTATTGTCTGGCAAATACAGGCTCTGAAATGACAAGAAAAATGTTTCTCTCTACATCAAAAAGACATTGCTATAATGCTGTCCTGGCTACAGCTGAAAAGAAAGCTGTCTATTTTTTTTTTTCCTCCCCAAAAGAAGTTGCTTTTTCAGTGGTGTCAGGCTATTTTGCAACATGGCTGTTTTCCAGCAGTGAAATAGACTTTAATGCAAACAGCAGTTTCTTGTGTGAAAAACAAGACTCTCCTGGCATCAGTGGTATAGATCCAATCAAAAGTCAAATACCTCACAGAGCAGCTTAGAGAAGAAAGAAACGTCGGAAATACTTAGCCAAATCTTTTAGAATAGCTTTGTCTGAAATTAAGGAATTGGGTGTGTATACTGCCACAAATGCCTGTAGTGCTTTAATAAACAAAGGGAAATATGTAGGCCAGGATATACTGAATGCCATATGCATTTGTAAAGCCCTTCTCAAAATAACTGGTGGTTTATAAATGAGCAGAGATACAACCATGTGGAATTAAACACGCAGCCGTGTTATAAAACAATGACACTTGCACACAGAGGGTGTTATCTCCCTGGGTAAAGTTGTTTGGATTAGTTTTGAGGATGTTTGCTTATAAAATACTCAGGGAATCCAGAAGTTAGCTTTGCTTGCTGTTAGAGGTAGGACTTTGGAAAGGCTCCAACATTCTGCCTCTGCCCTTTCGCCTGCACAGATGGACAGGGACAGTGACCACTCTTTGCAGTCCTTGCAGGCATAAGATGTTCTTCTCCAGGTATGAAATTGAAATGTCATAATACAACAGCCTCTGCTGTATTTGGTGTGCACAGAGGCTTTTTGATTTAAAGCAAACAGGTACAAAGATCTGAGGCCATCTCTTCAAAAAAACAGTCAATGCCCAAATCTCAGGGCAGCGTTTCAATATGTCCTTGCTGTGGTTATCCATGTAAGCAGCACACACACAGATACATTTGAATTCACAGAGTTTATCTGTCTGCCAATAGACAGGAATAGGTGTGTATTTCTCTTTCTCTGTGTGTGTGTACAAACCGATGCAAAATAACAAGTCAATCACAGATCTCCTTTTGTACATTAAGATTAAGGCTCTATCTTCATCTTATTGTTCACACAGCCAGGCTGACACACAATGCAGGATAATATCCAGCTATCAATGAGAAGTGTACACATTTGTCTCCACAATATTTAGGCAGAAGAAATTTTGTCTGTGAGATCAGAGCTTTAGTCTGAGGAAAAAACACAGGAAGCTGTTTTAGGAACATACTAAGGGCAAGAGATACCTGCATTAAAGGGGGTTGCAGCAGAGGAATTCCCTGTGAGGGGATCACTGAGGGAGCCAGACTTGCTGCTGCCAGACACAGTGGAGAAGCTTGGGGGATTCTGATCTGTGGGAGGGAATTCAGAAGGTGGTTATGGTTCACTTGGTTTCAGGGCCTGTCCCTGGTGGTCAGTCTGGAGACTGTGGAAGTGGTGAAGAACACAAACAGAGACCCTGGTCTTGTGACTGTCCATGTGTGTGTGGGGGCTGTGGGAGATGTGAAGGGAAGGCTTCAGCAGCCTCTGGTGTGGTTTCAAGTGGGAGTAAAATACCTCAGCAGCCTACATTAAATGCTGGGTTTAATACATGGTGACATTATGCACAGAGTGGCTTGACAAGTTCTGACCTGGTATCTTTGCACTGCTGGTGACTTATCCCAAGGGGAAGAAGGGGCTCTTTGCTTTCAAAAAAGCCTGAGGCCAAGCCAGTTCCAAGGAAACCAGGGAAAGATGCAATCATGAGGTTAAAACTGTGAGTGAACAAGAGACAAATT